TTCCCTTACTCAGGAGCCATGGAATGTAATAACAGCAATCAAGGCAGTTCATTCTGACAAATGCGTGTCAGAAAAAGACTGCTGTGACTTTGAAATATTGAAACTGACTGATAACATAATGTGCAAAACCGAATAAATGCATACAAATGGAAGTTTTAGCTGTGTCGCCAAAGTATGAACTAAATACAGTGTCAGAGGCCTGCACTGAAATGGCTGTGTGTGAGTGCTTACAGTGGCAAATTACTAAATGCACTTGCTAAAGTGTTTTTATGAATAAAGCAGCATGCATAGATTCTCCCTCCCCTCACTTCCATCCCATGTCTCTCCCTCTGTCTCTCTCCCCTCCCCACAACTCCCTGGAATTCAGAATGAATATAGCTTCAAGCAAAAAGACGGAAGAACTGAGAAGTGCTCAGTTTTAATAAAACACAAAAGTCAATGACAACGAGGCCGAGACACCAGTTTCCACTGGGGGATAGAGCTAGATGAGTGAAGCTGGGTTTAAATCAGAGATGAAACAAAATCCGGCAACAGTCTGAGAGCTGAAATTTCCATCTTGATGAAGATTTCCATGGGAACGTTCAAAATCTGAGACTCTCCCCGGCATAAACACCTTTCAGTTTAAGGTAAGGTTCAAGAGGGTTTAACAAATCCCTTGGTCTGTTTCGAAGCATTGATTTTGCTCATATTCTTATGTCAGCATTATTTTGATCCCTATGATCCCCAGATGATAGAATTCTAATGCATAGTAATTCAGACAGATAAGGGGATTGATAGGCTGTAGTAACCAAAAGCATATACTTTTAGATTCCTGCACCGCAGCTGCCACTCCCTATTATCTGCCCCCTTTCTCTTCTTCGCAGCAAACAGGGCATCAGGTGTCCCTGAGTGTACACCACAATGGGCTAAATGGACCAGTGGTTTGAGTCTGTACAAGGTAGCTTCCTAGGGGCTGTATACAATAGGCAGGCATTGATACCAAGACCAGTGATAGAACAAGCAAAAGAAGCTACAACTGCCTTGTATCAGTATTTTGAAAATATCTGCAAGTATATCCCAGATTGCAACCTGGCAAGGTAAAATAGAAGAGATCAAGGCTACCCCACAGGGCTCAGAGATCAATGTCTCTTAGCCTGCATCTCTACTCTGAGATGAAGAAGGATCATTCAGTCCAAGGTCTACCAGCTTAAGCTTCTCCTTGCCTCTTCTTTTACCCTTTGAGGTCTTTTGCAGTAGTACAAATCACCAAAATGCATATGCTTCACAGCTGAACTGGGCTCCCCCCTTCCTGCCACCCTCAAATACACAACATACTTTATTTCCATCCACTTGGAACATCATTCCTTTGATTCACTGACAACACCATGTACCTTTGGAGGCAAAATCCAACCTTTAACATGGCGAGGCTTGTATAGCCTTAGGCAGACGAAGCAGCTAACTAGTTAAATTAGCAAGAAACTCACTTTTTCTTTCTTTCAGGGTAATGCACATTGGCAGTTTTAACACATACATAAGAGGTCAGTTCCCTGCAGTACTTCAGCTTTAACCAGTGGGGGGCTAATCTACCTAACCTGCTTTCTTTCCCTTTAATTCATCTTTTTAAAAAATGTGTAACTAAGTTTAGTACTGAGTGCCTAAAAATCTAACTAATAGGCTCGGCAGTAGCATACAATTCGTATAACTATTTATCTGGCCTGGAAGCTTAATGCAGCCCTCCAGGCCTTCAGAACTGTTCCCAATCCACGGCCTTTCTCCTCAGGCAGCACCCCTTCCCAGCCTGACCCACACCTTCTCTGGGTGCTTTCGCCTGGCTGTGGCTGGATTGTGGCACCTATTGTTTTGCCTACTTTTGTCCCACCCACTGGTAATGTGGCCCCTGGAAAATTACCTTTATGGTAATTTTAGCCCTCTGGCTAAAAAGGCTCCCCCTACACCTACAGATTTCGCAGCTACTGGAAATGTTGCCACATGAGAAGTGCTTTAGTGTGAAGCAGCTCCTGCATGGTTTGTCTTTAACCAAAGTCACAAACAGGGGCGTAGGAAGGGGTGTGCGGGGTGTGTGGTCTGCCCCGGTGTCATCCTTGAGGGGGGGGTGCCAAAATGGCACACCACAGGGGGGCAGCACTTACTGCGGGGCCATGCGTGGATCGCCGTGGTGCCCTGGTGTGTGTATCGCCCCACCCCTGTGGGCAGATCGCCCCACCCCCGCCGCTCCGGGTGCCGGAGCAACTAGCTACGCCCCTGGGCACAAACCCTCACTTTTCTGATCCTAAACACCCACCCACCCCACTCACACACGAAAACAAAGATCACCACAGCCAATCACAAACAAACAACCACACCCTAGGCCAACCCCAACCTCTCCCACCACCAAAGAAACACAAATGAACAGCAGAGAACCTGCACGAGCAACGCTGACACCAAACCCTACATACATTAAGCAAAATAGAAACATCGCCACCCGACTTAAACCCCCACCCATCTTCCCCCCCTCCACCCCTTTTCTTCCTAATGTCTCAACAAATGAAACTGATTTGTAAAAATGTCACATGGAAAAAATATGAGATACATTACACATACTTCTGTAAAACAAGAAAATCTTTAATAAAAACAACAACAACAACAACAAACCCTCACTTTAAGAAGAACACGAAGCTTCCTTGCACCAGGTTGAGCTATCTCTCAATCAAGCCCACTGTTGTCTATTCTGACTGGCAGGCACTTTCCAGGATACCTGTTACCTGAACCTTTAAACTGGAGGTGCCTGGGACTGAACCTGGGGCAGTAGTGTCCGGTGTGGTGGGACAGAACTACAAAGCCATCCTTCTGAGAGTGGTGCCACTGCAGCACTGGGACAGGGCAGGATGGTGATGGGATCAGGGATGTGAGTGCACACCACTGGGAGCACTGGATGGGTTCCACCAGTACACCTATGTGCAGCCTCTACTTTCCTGCTCCCTGCTGCACCCTGAACCATACATGTAAGTTGCAGAGACACCAGTGTCAGGAGGGTGACTCTGCAGATCTGCTATGGGCCTCGGGCCTCCTGCATGCAACACATGTGCTCTACCATCAAACTATGGCCCCATCCCCTTTGGCATAAGTAGGTGTGAGTTTTGAATTCTTTGGTAGAAACTGTCCAATTGCAATTCAGCTCTGAACCATTATTTCTGCATGTGCTGCTTGAGCTACAAACCATGGCAGACGGTGAAGTGGAGTTGTGACTCACCTGTCACTGGCCTCCTACAGTTACATTCTGCATGAATTCAGGATACCCTGATGTGTCTCAGTGTGATGTTTCCTTTGTTATATAGGCTGGCTGTGAACTTCTTTGACAAAAAGCTTCCACGGGGTAATTTATATGTTAAATCAAGAAGATGCTCATACGTTTCCACTGCATTTCATACCACTTTTTTGTTATAAGTCTCTGTTGAATTTTTAATAAGAAAAGTAGAGGGGAACCCAGGAAGGGTTGCCATCTGCACAGAACTAATGTAGCTCAACAAAATATTCTTTTGTCTCCTGACCATTTATGATTGTATTTATTTAAAATATTCAAAAAGCCTCGCCTCACTCCTAGTGGATAAGCAGCTTAAAATATGCAGGCTTGAAGCAACATTTCAATGAATTAACATGGGGGTAGGGAACCTGTGGCCTCCTAGATGCTGCTGGATTCCCAACTCCCATCAGCCGCAGGCAGCTTGACCAATAGTCAGTGGTGATGGGGGCTGCACTTCAGCCACATTTGGAAGACCGCAAGCTCCTTAAGGGCAGCTTTAGATGTGGAGTTATTGCACTCAAAGCTACAAATGTGTTCAAGCAGTACACACAACACACACACACACACACACACACACACACAGACACACACACACACAGAGAGAGGGGGGGCCTATTTAAATTGCCTCTCTGAGCCGAAAGCATAGCACTTCACTCAGAGGAACCATTACATTGAGTGTGCCACACCAGCCATACAAACGGACACAGTAGAAAATCTCGTAGCACTGGACACTGTAAGTTCTGTGAAGACATTAAGGAACTGGAACGCCAAGGTGTGACTGCTAAGCAAGCTGTCTGGCACGCAAGGAAAAGAATGTGGGTGGATTTTAACAATATCTCTTTAGTTCTTTTGGAATTGGTGTTCTGTCTGTATTGTTCTTTACACACAATATTGTACATATTTATAGAAAAGCTCTCTTTTTACCCAAGCTTTTTATGATGAATGCTTCATTGTATTTTTTTTTTTACCCCTTCACACATTGTCCTTATGGATGTTATATATCCATACGGTGTCGCTGCAGTTGGAATTAGTGGTTTGCATTTTAATGTATTCTGTATTTTATGTACTGAATTTAATTGCATACTGCTTAGATACATCAGTCTGAAGTCGTATATAAATAGCAGCAGCAGCAGCATCTTAGGGCCCTTGTGGACAGAAAGGTGATTAATAAATACAATGATGATACAGATCTTATTAAGGAAACAGGAGTGAATACAGAAGACCAGTCCACTTCATTGCAGAAGGCTCACTGCCAACTACTGGAGTCTTTTTCCTGCTCTTCTTTGCTATATCTCTGTTGCATTCAGGGCTGGCCCATCCATGAAGTGTGGTGAAGCAGCCGCCTCAGGTGGCGGTATCCCCTGAGGTGGCAAGTCCCATGGGTGCTCCACCTGCCCTGCCACCTTGCTGAAATATTGCAAGATCTCACGAGATTTCGGTGAGATCTCACTGTAAATTGGTGCTGCTTCTCTGCTGCTGGCAGAGGCAACAGGGTGGGCAGTGTAGTGGAGGTGCAGTGGTACTGGTGGTGCAGGTGGACTGTGGAGCAGAGCGGGGTGGCACTTCCCCTTTTGCCTCAAGCAGTGAAATGGGATGTACCACCCTGGGTTGAGTTCACCTGTCCTCTTTCATACCACAGAATCATAGAACTGGTGAGTTGGAAGGGACCCTAAGGATCATCTGATCCAACTCCCTGCAATGCAAGGATCCTGCCCACAGCCATCCCTGGGTGGGCTTGAACCACCAACCTTCTGGTTAACAGCAAGAAGCACCAACCCATTGTGTCACTGGGTGAGTATGTAGCAGCAGCAGTGTCCAGTAGCTTTGCTCTCTCCCCATGGGTAGTGGGTGCAAACTGCACCCAGAGAAAAAGGACAGGTGATGGTGGCCAGTAGGCAGTGGAATACTCAGGGAGGGCCCGTCATTGAGAAGATATTGTCCAAGGGCCCCTCATAACATGGAAGTGGCACTGGGTGAGTACCAATTGGCAGTTTACCATGCTGTGCATTTAACCACTTGGCCAGCCATCACCTTGCACTGCCCTGCCAAGTGGTGCAGGAAATCTCCACAATCCTGTGTCGAATCAGAAATCCAGGGAAGCAAATGACTTATTGGTAAGCTTCTCTTTACTGCCTGATGGGACAATTCAGACCATTTATTCATCAAGGGGTTACACGACTGCCATATTAAGTTACCATTTTAGTATATGATTGTCTGTATTCTAGAACGGAGGAAAGGTTTTCTTGCCTCCGAGAGAAGCACTTGTCTGAGGAAAATACGTTAGCAGCAGGCTAATCTTACATTCTCAGCAGGTCAGCTACCATAACACAAACCTGATCTAAAGTGTACAAAGCATTTGTTTGACTAGCACTGTGTTCAGAATTACATACGGAGAGTAACAAAGCTGAAAGAAGAACTACTTTCTTCCCTTATAACAGGAACCTACCCTATATATCTTTTAGATGTCAGGAGGAGGACCCTGAATCTAATAGGAGAGAATAGCCACCGATCAGGAACCAATGCATATACAGTGGTGATGGTCTGTTCTTGCACCCTCCCAATTGCTCATTCAGTCAACTATATCCTTGCCAGGAACTGCCATGACTAGAACTGGGAGCCTCCAACTCTGTATGGAGGCACCAGGGTTACAGGTCACTCCCTAGGCAGCAAAGAGTTCTGAAGCACAAAAGAAGATTCACTGTGGACTAGACCAAAGGCTCATCTTGCCTAGTGTCCTGTTCTCACACTGGCCAACCAGATGTCTATAGGTAGCCTGGAAGCAGGACCTGAGAGCAACTGCAGCACTGTTTCTGGTATTCAAAGGCACACTACCTCCAAAGCTGGAAGTACTGCACAGCCATCATGATCAGTAGCTGTTGACTGCTTATCCTCCATAAATTTGTCTCACTCCCTGTTAAGCTCATCCAAGTTGGTGGCCATCACTTCTTCCCATGGAAGCAGATTCCATAGTTTAACAATATGCCATTTGACGAAGTACAGTGGTACCTTGGGTTACATATGCTTCAGGTTACATACGCTTCAGGTTACAGACTCTGCTAACCCAGAAACAGTACCTCGGGTTAAGAACTTTGCTTCAGGATGAGAACAGCAATTGTGCTCTGGCGGTGCAGCAGCAGCGGGAGGCCCCATTAGCTAAAGTGGTGCTTCAGGTTAAGAACAGTTTCAGGTTAAGAACGGTCCTCCAAAACGGATTAAGTTCTTAACCTGAGGTACCACTGTACTTCCTTTTGTCTATCCTGAATTTTCCAACATTTGACTTCATTGTTCTAGTAAAATGAAAGGGAGAAAGATCTTCTCTTTCTCTCCTTTCTTCACACCATGCATGACCTTATATACCTCCATCATTGTTCCAACTCCTCATTTTCCTGAACTAAAATGCCCTAAATGTTGTAACCTTTCCTCATAATGGAGCTGTTCCAGTGCCTCGATAATTTTGGTTGCCCTTTTCTGAAACTTTTCTGGCTATATAATATCCATTCTAAGGTAAGGTGAACAAAACTGTACACAGTATTCCAACTGTGATTACACCATAGATTTCTATAATGGCTTTATTAGAGTGGCAGTTTTATTTTCAATCTCTTTCCTAATCATCCTAAATACTCTTCTATATTGCCTCCCCCCCCCCATGTTTCTGGTGACATTTACTTCCAAATAACCAATCACCAGCAGCCACACATGCCTAGTACGGGGTGCAGGGCATCTGGCGCAGGGTAACTTGGAATCATAGAGGAAACACTTCAAGGCCAGCCCTACCATTATGTAGGAGTGCAAATATCCAGAGATGTAGTGATCAGGTGGGATTGCTATGAGGAATTATAACAAATATAGAGTAAGCCATTGCGTTGACTGGGTTTAGACTATTTTGATATGATTCTTGATCAATCTACACCCCTGCATCCCTGTTCCATTCCTCTTTTCCTCACATGTCACGTACAGAGCCCAGTTGCTTCGCCAGGCAGGCATCCTGCGCCATAAAAATAGTGGGCAAGTTTCTTTGATGTAGGATGTTAATCTTAGGGCCAGGAAACAGATCTCACATGAAGGTGATAATGATCCACTGTCCTCCTGGTCATCCTTCTTATCATATGTGTATTGCTTGTTTATTACCTCCAGGGTTGCCAGATGCTCTTCTTTGTAGTTCTGTTCTTTGTTTACCCCAGAAATATTTGTGCTTAATTAGTTTTAGTAGTTTAACTTGTCCCCACGTGGGTTTGTGGAAATGCTCAGAAGAAATCTGATTGGTTCTTACGATCACTCTGTAAAAAGTTCTTTTGTGAATAAAAACTACCTGGGCCAGGGGGCTGCACATCGGACAGGCACAGAGAGACATGATTATACGCACCTGTAATGGTTCAAGGGGTTGCTTGTGCGTAAGCCGGTGCCCACACCTGGCTGGGTTGCCTAAGTGAACCTTTTCTGTCCAGACAGCCACTCACCCGTGGCTGTCTCAATCGCTGGCAGAATCCGTCAGTGGGCGTTTCTTAAACTTCTTCCAGCAAAGAAGTTCTTTCACGCCCAGTCGCCTCCTACTTTCCCTGCGCGGAAGCCTTCTGCGCAAAGAAGGCGTAGGCAGCGGAGGACCCTTCCTCCCCCCGCTGGTCCCAGGCAAGGAGTCATGTGACTCCCTCTCAGATTCCCCCATCTGCCCCCCTTCTCCACTGGAGCTGAGCTGATTCCCTTCCCCAGAAGATGGGCTGCCTCTCCCAATCCCGTGACACTCTCTGGGATCCCTCTGGAGCTCTCTCTCTCTCCCTCTGGCACTGATGGCAGTTCCCTGACAGCACCCTTCCCAGAGTCTCTGTGTGTATTCTTATTAATCAGAGTTCAATCCTTCCTTTACTTTGCGAACGCAACACCATTAGGCAGAGCGAAGAGCTTGCCTTAGGTGGCAGATGGTTTGGTTGTGCAATGATAGCCCTCCTATCACTCCCCTCTTCTGGAGACAAAGCTATGCATTTTTGTGCCCCTACACTAACCTGCATCCCCCAGATGTAGTGAAGGGCTATCACCACTGGAAAGAGTCGTGGCTTAGGGGGAGAACACCTGCCTTGCAGGCAGAAGGTCCCAGGTTCAATCCCTGGCATTTCCAGGCACATTCCCAGCCCAAAACCTTGGAGTGCTGCTGACAAGTCTGTGTAAACTGTACTAAGCAAGCTGGAGCAATGGTTTGACTACACATTGGGAAAAGTTTGAGGACTATTTACAGAAATATTGCAAAATTAATGAATGTTAGAATGATGTTGGATTGAAACTAAGTGGTCTTTAGCTGAAATGTTATAAGGGAATATGAAAAAATGGATTATTAATAGGTAAAAATTTAAAATTATAATACTTTACGATTAACGACTAGGATATACAAAGAGGGGAGGGATTAGCTGAACTAACAAACTGAACTGGAATACAAAAAAGGGAGGCGTGAGGAGGTCCGGGAAATAAGCAAATGAAGGATAAGTAATGGAAAGAATGAAGTGTTTTAAACTATTTTTATTTTTGTATTTTTCTTTTTTCTTTTTCTATATTGTAATATTTTGAAAACCTTAATAAATATCTGTCAGAGCTGGCTCCAGGTCCCAGCTCACAGAGGACCAACGCTAGCCGGCAGTAATGTACAAAAGTCTTTATTGAAGTACAGTTTCCATTTTCAAGCCGGAGCGCCCCAGCTCTACGTCTAGGGGTTAGATCGGCGAAGCTCCATCTGAGTCTCCGCCCCTGTACACCAGTTTAAGATCCTAGCCTTACTCCACCTCTTACGTCTCTCCTTTCTCCTCTGGGTCCTGCGACCCCCCGGGGTCCCTTCCTTCCTGGATTCTTCTGACGCTGACCCCTGAGTCCTCCCCTCTTTCGGCGGGCTTTGGGACCTGGCTCCCTATCCGGGCTGCCAACTGCGCCGCCCTCCTGTACATTTGAACTCATGCGCGCGCCCAGCCTTCAACCTTCCTCTCGACCGTTTCCTCGCTCCCCGATGGAGGCGTGGCCAATCCTGACTCATGTCCTCCCACTGGCAGTGCGCCGCCTGATCCCGATGCCTGGGACTCCTCCCCTACTGCACTCTGGTGTGGACGCTGGTCCTGATTTCCAACTGCTGCTCTCTGAGTCCCCTCTGGCCCCTTCTTCCTGGGGTGTCCCCCTCGGCACCCCCTTGCTCTGACCAAGGGAGCCCCTTTCTGTGAATCTTCCGATTCGCTGGAAAGACTCAGAGACCTCGGACCGCTGTCATCGCTAACATTTCCTTCGGACTCCTCCCCCTCGCTCTCTATTTCCTCCCTTTCCTGTGCCTCTGCTCCTGAACCCCTGACAATATCTTATAAAAAAAATGGTTTGACTACACATAAGGCTCTTATCACTGTTTAAGTAAGAGTCAATTACCAGTCTGGTTAGCTTTTGCATGTGGAATTGAGGGTGAGGAAAAGGAGACCCTTCACCTCAGTAGGGGGAAAAATCATTGTGCTGACCTTGGCTAGCTCACTAGTGTAGCAAATACCAGAGTATACCGCTAACTCCCCCCCCCCGGCTCAATCCCTGAAATCTCCAGGAAAGGCTGGGAAAGGCTGCTATCCGAAACCTTGTATACCTGCTGCCACTCAGTGGCAATACTGATCTAGATGAACCAATGGCCTGACTCAGCTTTTTGTGTCTTTTTAGCCACACTAGATCTTTGCCATTCGTCTCAATTCCTTTTTCTATAAAACAACAACGAAAAGCGGCAGCTGGCTGCCCTTGCAACCATGTCTCCATTGAAATGCCATGTCAAGCTGCAAACAGGTATGCATTTTGTCATGCATAGTATTTGCCTTGGCTTGCCTGAGTAATCTGTTGCTAATTGCTATTGGCTTGGCAAGCACTCACTCTGTACATGTGACAGTCTGTGGAAGCTGATTTCTGGCTGGGCTAGGGAGGCGCAGTGGGGCATTGCATGGTGAAGAGATGCCTTTCCATCTGGGCAGGAGATTGGACTTGACATCCTTGTGTTCCCTTTCAACCCTCTGGCATAGCTAAGCTGCTGTTAGCAGTCTATTGATTTGACCTGTCTGTAGTTCTGGGAATACCATCTAATTTCTGGCATTTCTTCCCCAAGTTTACTGGAAGTGACAAAGACTAAATTTCTCGTTCTGTAGCACTTATTCTCCCCCCCCCCCCAATGTTTTGTGTCTGCAAGAAGCAACCGGAGAACTCTGCAGAGATTACCTCTGCTTGTCTTCTCTTTTGTTCAGTTGTTTATGATTTGCTGTGCATAAGTGCTAGACTTCCGAGGGCCACAAATTTCTATTAACAAGTTATCACAAAGCCCCAGCAAATTGGAGAGCTTACTCTCACCCTCTCTTTCTTGTCTTTGGTCACAACAGTTAGGGATGAAGAGTCCAATTACACCATCACACTTATTCCCTTGGAAAGGTCAGATAGTGTTTCAGTCCCTCCAATATCACTGCAAATGGACTATGCTGGCTGTATTATTATTATTTTTTTTTAAAAAAAGAAGATTCGTCCTTAAACAGCCACATTTTCTGTAGTACCAAGGAAAGAAAGGCAACCACTTCAGAAATAGCTTCCCCCTCCCCGTTATTCGAAGCTTTTGTGTTTCAGTGATTCACAGTAATTCTTGAGCAGTTCTTGTGGTTCATATACAAAGAGAATAAAAAACTGGAGAGGTAGTAACAAGAAAAACACAAAAGAACACTCTCAGTATCAATATGTCTACCATGGAGTGTTGCCATACTGGGATCTATGGGTTTATTTCAGGTGGAAAGTCAAATAAAATGTTGATATGACGCATTTCAGAGAAGCATGATAAATTTAGCATCTGAAGCTCCTGAAAATTTAGCGTTCTTGTTGGACAATACTTGTGCCGGGGGTGGGGAAAATGTTGTTGGGCTGCAACTCTCAACAGCTCTGACCATTGGCCATGCTGGCTGAGGCTGATGGGAGTTGGAGTTTGGAGGGCCACAGATTCCCTGCCTGGTTTATACAGAAGGCAGTATACAGTGCTCAGAAGTAAGTCCCACTGAGCTTAGCAAGATTAACTCACAAGGATAGGAGCAAGATGATGTATAGGGCTGCAGCTTTCTGGAGTGATCTGGTGTAGCGTACTGCGAAGATACTGATAGCAGAATCCCATACATGTTAACTAATGCACTGTGTTCAGTGGAGCTTATCCTCTGCTCAGTGTGTGTACAGACTGCAGCCTGAGCTATGAATCAAGAAGTCCCTAGTTTGAATCTTGCCTGTGCTAAACCCTGCTCTCAAAATCTTTAATCCCCTTAGGAAAAACGCTTCTGTTTCTTTTTTTGTTCCTCTTTCCAGGCAATTCTAAAATTACTTGATGATGATGGTGAACAACAGCAACACCCAGATGTGGACATCATGGGGTCAAAGAAATCTTGCAGATTGCAAACCACCGAGAGATGATATGTAGAATAAAATAAAATACGCTCTCAAACATCCCTTGTTAGGCTTTAAACTAAGGTAAGTGCAACAAAAATCCTGTACCCCATTTATTTGAATTCCCCTGAAATTATCTCTCCCCTTTGATAGTTTTAAACTGCATCTTTCATTTTCTCATTAATTGCCAGAGAATGGTGGAAAGAATGCAGATCCGCCCCCCTCCGGCACAGCACTAATCTTGCCTCTGCCGTGAACTCAACAGGTAGCTCTGGGCAAGCCCCCCCTCTGTCAGCTTATTCAATAATACTGGGTAAATAGTAATGTTTTTAAGTTCCTCCTGAAAGTTAATAATGGGGGAGACAGATGCACCTTACCAGGGAGGGCACTTCACAAACACGGAACCACCACCTCATTCAAGACTAAAGGGTGGGGAAAGGTTGTCAATCAATGGTTGGGGTGAATGAATAAATGGCTACTAATGTGTCCTTAAAATAATAATAATAATAATAATAATAATAATAATAATAATAATAAATTTTATTTATATCCCGCCCTCCCCAGCCGAAGCTGGGCTCAGGGCGGCTAACAGCAATCAAATAATCAAACAATCAAATAATCCAACATTCTAAAAGCATTTCATTATAAAAATTAATTAAAATCAAATTAATGGCAACCGTTAAGCAAAATTCTGTGCAGGTTGCCAGAGGAGGGAGTCAGGCTGTGCCCTGACCAAAGGCCTGGTGGAACAACTCTGTCTTGCAGGCCCTGTGGAAAGATGTCAGATCCCGCAGGGCCCTAGTCTCTTGTGACAGAGCGTTCCACCAGATTGGAGCCGCTGCCGAGAAAGCCCTGGCTCTAGTTGAGGCCAGCCTAACCTCTCTGTGGCCTGGGACCTTCAGGATGTTTTTATTTGCAGACCGTAGGTTCCTCTGTGGGGCATACCAGGAGAGGTGGTCCCGTAGGTACGAGGGTCCTAGGCCATATAGGGCTTTAAAGGTTAAAACCAGCACCTTAAACCTGATCCTGTACTCCACCGGGAGCCAGTGCAGCTGGTATAGTACCGGATGAATGTGATCTCGCAGCGAAGACCCCATAAGGAGTCTCACCGCGGCATTCTGCACCCGCTGGAGTTTCTGGGTCAGTCTCAAGGGCAGCCCCACGTAGAGCGAGTTACAATAATCCAGTCTGGAGGTGAGGTCAGGGCTAGGTCAGGGCGAGAGAGATAAGGGGCCAACTGCTTAGCCTGGCGGAGATGAAAAAATGCCGCCTTTGTTATAGCTGTAATCTGCGCCTCCATAGAGAGGGAGGTATCGAAGATTACACCCAAACTCTTAACGGACAGTGCTGGCACTAATTGCACCCCCGCAAGAGATGGGAGTTGCGCCCTCAATCCCATATCGTCCCATCCCAGCCAGAGGACCTCTGTCTTCGAAAGATTTAACTTCAACCGGCTCCCACGTAACCATCCAGCCACAGCTTCCAAACATCTGGTCAGTGTGTCTGGGGCCGAGTCAGGATGGCCATCCATCAACAGATAGAGTTGGGTGTCATCGGCATACTGATGGCAACCCAGCCCAAAACTCCGGACAAGCTGGGCGAGGGGGCGCATAAAGATGTTAAAAAGCATCGGGGAGAGTATCGCACCCTGGGGCACTCCACACACCAAGGAGTGGCGCGATGACAATTCCCCCCCAAGCGCCACCATCTGTC